GCCTACTTGTATCAATATTGCGGTGCTATTTTCGGGACCCCCCGCGAAACTTATGCAAACGTTGGCACATATGAGTGCGTGGTCTGAGTCATAGAAGCCTAACCAAAATTATCTGGGATCCCGTACCCCACTCTCTAAAACTGATACGATATGATCAATTTGAGACTAGGCTTAAGTTAGTGAAGAGTACTGATCATATGGACGGTGAAACCAATCTAGACTGACTTCCACCATAGCATAGATAGTAGTGGCCATTTTCTAATACTGCGAGATGCTTAAACGGTAGTTTAGAGACGGTTAATGGGCACATTCCTGACTATTAATGTTATAGACCACACCAGGACGCAAACCTGCTTACGTCTGAAAGGCGCGCTAGGAAAATTCTATTTCGTTTTGAAATCCTTGCATCGTCACTCTCGAAGCGGTGTACGGATCGACGCAAAATAGTTCATTATGATGAGAAACATTATATGCATAACTCGGGATACCCGTAGCTCAAGTTCTGTGTTCAGTTGTTGAGGTGTTCACTGACCTAAGTAATTTGACTGCAGACTTTTAGTCCACAGTGGAGGCAAGATCATCAACACAGGAGGGTTAGTGGTTTCGTTACAGCTAGTGTGACAGGAGGCGAACCACTAAGCCTGCTGCACTGATAATGTCATCTCAACCGTGGACAAAACGTCGGCAATCGAACTGACCAGCTCGGCTGACAACTCAGTGATTGAGCTACCTTATCCCTCCATGTCACTTCAATGTTGTCATCGCAGTTACTAAAAATTGTGCTGTTCTTACTCGGTGCATGAGCCATGTGCATTTCTTACAACCACACTAAGCAACCACATTAATCGTACTGGATAGCCTGAAGATGTACACCGAAGCATTCCCATAGGATTTTCAAAATTCAAGGAGCGACTCCAGGAACGGGCCAACAGTTTTACGAGTACTGAGCAAACAATTGGGGCAACTATGGAGAGGGTGGTTAACTCTAGACTTGACTGCAATACACTTTATGGAAAACAAGATCCAAAGGTACAAAAGGATGCGACGGCGTACTTAGGATATGTTGCGGGAGAGATTTCTGAAGCCAAAAATACAAATTTAGAACGACTCCTTTGGCAAACGCTCAATGGTCCCTCCCATAAGAAGTGTGAGAAAAGTGTTGGGACAGGTGTCACAAAAGATTTACTTCAAACTTCTCCTTCAAAGGAATCCACATGGAGTATGCAATTATGATCTCAGCTCTCTGCAACAAACATTGCTTAAAGTTATAGTACATACATATATTCTGTTTTAGGTCATCAAACAATGAGCACAAGGTAACGATAAATTTGATGCTTCACGTACGATCGGGAAGACATCGTCAGAAACACCGGGCTTGTTGCAACTAGTGTATGGAGACGACAGAATGTCACGTTCGCTAGTTTCTGAGAGGTGTAAAAGGTTTAAAGATTGATGTGAGGGCGTGGAAGATAACCTTAGGAGCGGAAGGCCATCGATGACAAGGACTGAGATCAACATTGGACAAGTCAGGCAAATGGTACGTAGAGATCGTGACTGACTACTCGACCGATGGAAAATAAACTGGGCATGATTGCGGACAGCCTTGGAAGATTCTCACTAAAAATGTGGACAGGCAGAAAGTCAGCGCAAAGAGGCTACCAAATCTGCCGAACAATGACAAGAAAGATGGGCCCGTGCGAGTGTGCCAAGACATTCTCAATCGTCTAGCAACCGAACCAGATATGCTAGAAAGAGTCATCACTGGTGGTAAGTCATGGATCTTTGAGTGCGACCCGGAAAAAATGCCAGAGCCCTCTAGTGAAAGAGTCCGAGGTCGCCAAGCCCGACAGTCGGAGTTCAAAGCCAAAGCCATGTTGATCATGTACTCGATGTCAGGGAGACATCGCGGGTTCTTACACCAGGGCCAAAAGATTAAGCAATATGGCTACGATCGTTTGCTACGTCCAGTGCGTGATTACAGGTGAAATTTATGGCAGGACAACTTGTGGCTGCTTCACCATGACAACGCGCCTGTTCAAAATGAACCCCAAAACAGTTCCTAGTCGAGAATATCGCTGTGCTAGAGCAAGCACCCTACGAACACAATCTAGATCTGTAGTATATTTTACTTTTCCGCAAGCTCAAGACGGTCAGCAAAGGGAGCTGTTTTGAAGACCTGAATGACATCCAAGAAGCCGTGATGACGGAGCTGCGGAGGATCCAAGCGTGGCAGAGGAGGATGGGAAAGTGCATTACACTCCAAGGGAATTAGTTTGAAGAGGCAAATTCAATGTAAAATTTGGGTCTGAAACAAATCATTTGTGACACTAGTCCTGGAAATGTTCTGAAAACCATGTAAGTGGCTGTGACAACGTCTTCGGGTAATTCAAAGCTAAGATTACTGAGGATATCTGTTATATCCGTGTAGCTTTTCACAGCCACGCCGACCAGTGGAAATTGCGTATTGCTCACTTATGGAGAAATGCTGTGTAGTACAACGCTGCATACTCCCCACTGTGAGCAGCTGGATCAGAGAACTAAACGCTGCACATCAAGGATACCGAGAGACTGATAGTGTTGGACCATGTGCGATCCCGCATTGTGGCCTGTGGGTGGTGGGAACGGCGAGTGGGCGATTTCGCCAGTTAGCGACAAACGTCGGGTGCTGTTCGTCTGCAATGTGACAGTTCACTAACGGTTTAGTACATGTTTATACTCACAAGGAAGAGACATCGGGACCGCGACTCGATTCCAGGACACAAAAAGTGCCAGCCGAAGCATATAATCCCCATAACACCGTGGCATGAGCCATATTTGTTCCAACTGCTAACGATTAGTTGAGGGACTATTTGGAAGCACCGCTTTCATTACGGTCAAAGTGGCCGATATTCAAGCTGAAACGAACTGTAGTCAAGACTGGGATTGCGTGTTTCGAGTCATTCACACATGGAGTGCTCCAAGATGCCATTCAATGAGCTTGCTAGTCGCTGGTGGTCAAACTTGCTGGCACCGTAGTAGACCTTCTGTCAAGTTTGAGTCTCTTACCTTGACTATATGACGCTTTTCTGATGACCACTGACCGTCTGTCGCCGTATGTATAGTTTTCCAATACTGTGCCTAGTTATTTACAGCTTCAGGGTGAACATTTGATGATACAATGTGGACACATAAGGCAGGTGGCTGAAATATTGAACTAACCAATGCCGTATTCCTGGATGGCGCTGGACGGAACTATAACGCAAACGACTGGAAGCTTTTGGGACAAGACGCAACTGCGAGGCTAATGGCGTTCGTTCACTACCCACTACGATTGTCACAAAGTATTGTCTGTGTTTGATTGTGGTTTGTTCATTTCCGCACAGTGCTCATTATTGACCACACTATGACTGCGGCGGCGCGGTGTAGTGATCGGATCTCTGGCATTCCAATGCCAAATCATGCTGAACTAAGTGAACTGAACACTAAGCCGATTCACCTGGCAGGTACCGCGTGAACAAAGACAGTCTACGTGACAAAGTCAAAGCGTTAGTGGCGTACCTTTGACTCCCCCAATAGACTCCATCATTGTAGAAATTTTCCTTTCCTATCTATGCTGTTGTTGAACATCCTAAAACTCGGTTCTTGAATTACAGCAGTCTAAATAATCTGGACAGCATTCTCCTGTAAATAATCGTCTAACAAGTTGATAGTTCGATGAGCGGATGTTAAGAAGACCGCGGCTGATGAGACAAAGACTTTAGCTCCAAGTAAAACGATGTAGGGGAATGAGGTTCACTACTGTCGTCTTTCGAATGAATGGATACAAGGTGATCACGGAAGGAATACATATTTGGAGCACGTTTAAGCTATCAAATACCCTGTGCTAAAGGGAGCACTTCATCTCTTGAGACGGGCAAGTGGGTATAATTCACGTACAGTGGGGATTAGTAAATAAAAGGTTTTGACCGAAACAATAATTGGGTGGACAATGGAACCGTACTCGGCAAAAGTGACAACTAGAAATAAATACAGGCAACAAAGAAAGGATTAGAAAGATCCAGAGTAAGACGAACAGATGCAGTAGAAACTTAACTGAGAAGACAAGACTAAGCAACGGTTGAGTACGGAGCTCCAATTAAATCACAAACCTAGCCACTGCCAGGAGCACAAGACATGCACACACTGAGGCAACACAAAGCTAATCAGCAGAGTTCATCATATACGAAATTTGGAGCAGTACTTACTTTTACAGTCTCTTCCATACCCGACATATGAATTTCGCCATAGCTTTGAAAACAAGACATATCGTCCGCCCTTATTGTCATGGACTGATAGCGTTTTGGGTTACGAACTCCCATACTGACTGTCGAGGGCTCACCAGTATTATTTCCAACCATGTAGCTACGATAAGCCTATAGACTGTTATAAGATTTCAAACGATATATGGTTAAAATTAGACAAGGCAGAGATCGGATAAGCGTACGAAATAGCGGACTGCGTTGATTGGTCCGCTACGTCCAGGCCTGCCAATAAACCTTAGCTGATGTGGTGCGCAATTGGTTACGAGCGATTTTACAGTACGTAGCTGATTGAGCGACAGGCGATCATACTTCAGTCGTAACAGCTGAGGTATAATTAATGGTACAAAATAAAGAAAAAGCTTAGGAATGACAGTGACGAGCCAACTGGATAACGTATTACAAGCAAGCACAGTAAATTAAGGGTGGTGGGTAACGGGGGAAGGGTGCGAGGTAGAGCGCTAAATAAACGCATCAATGAAGTAATACCAAGGGATTATTCGCAAAATAAAAATATCACACATATGAACTGAAAAAGCATCAAAACAGTAGTCAGGATTAAAAGAGGCAGCTGAGCAAGCTGTTCGAGTAATCGAGTGTAGAAAGGTAAGAAAAATAGCAAATCCGTTGAGGAGATGTGCCAAAACCTGAGATAAGAACAAGCACAGTTGTGCTGAGAGAATGAAATTCAGGACATCGATGCAGCTGTCAAGTTTTGCGTGATCAAGAGATGGCCATGTGATCGAATTGGGACAATTCATTTAATGGGTCAGATTGGTTGATGGAATTTCCGGCGACCCCACATCTAGCCAAAGGTGAATCCTCAGTTGCGGAAAGGTCGGGTTCGACCAGTGGTTTTTTTATAGGGGCATGCATTCGCCAGTGCACGATTGGCTGTCGATTGGGAACGTGACACTTGGTTGAAACTATGTAACTCTCTTTGACCGTCAGAACTACTGCCGTCATCAAGTTTTTCGCTGCCTGGATAAGAGCGGTAGCATTGTCGACCTGGGAAGTATGAAAAATCGAAACTAATGAGGACAGGTTGAATACAAACAAAACAAATGAATGTGACCGGCAAACGAGGGAACTCTTGTATCTCAACCACTGTGAAGTCACTGGCGAAAAGTGAAGTACAAATGAATTAGATACGCTACTCATTTATAGGCAGTAGTGCAATAAATCAGACAAAGAAACTGAAAGTGAGGGGAACAGACGGGACAGTTCGGAACAAGGCTTTACCCAAACTGGAATGGAAATTACCGCTTCATTCCGGGTGGCATGGATACCCGCCTTTACACGACTAGTGATGTTCAGTTGGTGACAATGGAGAATGATGCGTTGGAGATAGGCCAGCAGATCCCTTCGACTTGCCGAATCGGGACAAATGTCGGCGATGTTACGACATAGTTGATCGAGTCGTTCACCGAGATGAGAAATTTGTTGAGCAGCCTGGAGAATAATGAGGCGGAGACGACATGTTTAACACGGAATTGATGAAAAATGAATCCTTGTACACGGCGAAAAAATAGCAAAGGTCCAATGAGATGAAAGAAAAGGGCACTTGCCTGAATGACTTCCATGGTGGAATGCAAAGGTCCTTTGCCACGAGTGAAATCCGTCATTTCCATCATGATGACGCACATCTTTTTGGCTAGCACAACGATTTCATTTGCTGAATCATCCCACTTGATTACTTCCCGCATAAAACGTTTCTTCTCCTCTAGAAAACCTGCAAATTCTTGAGCCAGAGACTCATGCTCTTGGTCGATGGGCATAGCGAACGATGTCTGGCGCTCGGATTGCTGGTTTTCCTGAGAAAAATGGGTTGTCGTCGCTGGGGACACGGGAGTAGTCAGAGGTGCCGTATCACCTAAGGTTATTCATATGAGAAAGAGGAACAAAGCCGGATGAGGTATGCGTATGTAGTGGAGAAATCCAATTGACGGCTAAGAGGCACAAATCGTCTGCACCTCTACGCAACTGATTCAAGAAAGATTGCAATAAAAATGATAAAGAACGATTTCATTTAGATGTATGGGAATAAGAACTAATTCTCAGTACCGGAACAAGACAGAGCATGCAGACACCTGAAAGCGAATTGGAGAAAATTCACCAATGAAAGTGGCGCCAGTGGAACACGTTAAACGGAATGAGGTATGTGAACGAGATAAGGCATGCGAATGCACGAGTTGAAACCCGATCGCAATGTATGCGAATGAAGAGACAAGTACTTCGGTAATGAAAGCACACTTTAAGAGTGAGCTCGAATTAAGCGGATTATCCAGTCTGACTGCTAGAGACGTCTCACACAGCACTGATATTTGGTAGCTCAAGAAATTAACGTGAAGGAAATACTCACACATAGAGTAGAAATACCGAGTTCGTGTGGCATTGCGAAGAACCGATAAACAAGATGGTAACCAAGGTAAGACGCAAACACTAAACAAACATAGATGATACTGAGGCGACACCGAAGCGCATGTTCAACAATGTAATTTGGTGGTGTGAGAGTTGGAGTGTATAGGAAGGACAACACACCAAGCTTGTCGAAAACAAAGAAGCGACACACCGGGAAATGGATTAATCGAACAACGACGAACAAAATTGGACGAACAACAGTAGGCCACGGTGACTCAATAAGAAAGTGATTGGTCAACAACAAATGCGCACCCCAACGTCAACGATCATACATTGTTACGATACGTAAATGGTGCTAAGCCAAAGAAGGCTGGCTGAAAAACCGGCGGGGGGAATTTCCATACACACACATGGAGAGAAGGATAGGAGTGAAGAGTGGATTTGAGAACGCTAGTAAAAAACGAACGCACCTCCGGTGCAAAACAGGAAAGTGAGAATTTAAAAACAAAAAGAAAGTGAAGCGGGCAAATACCATCAAGAAGACAAAATTAATAATACATGAATCGCACGGGGAAAGGATTAGAGTACAGCAATAAAGTCCCCCCAGATTTGTTTGTCCACCATTGGCTGGTTAGCATGAGGGGGTCTGCTTTGTAACCCACAGGCCAATGTTTCGAATCTGTATAAGTGCGGACGAAACTGCAGCTTTGTAACCCGCAAGCGGCTGGTGGCCATCCTGTGGCGGCGAACCACCAGCATGGTGTACTGGTGTTGACTCTCCATCCTACATGTGGTACCAACAACATGCCATTTCTAGTATCAATGTAGCGCGCAAACGATTGAACTGAATGGAAAAGTTCGCTATTCCAGCACAGCTGAAACAATTAACCTTAGATCACTAATAGTAGAAATACCATCCAGCAAAAACTGAGGCGCAAAAGAGAAGGCCAGATACACTGATAAGATAACTGAAAGAGATAAGTTGCACAGGTAGGCTGTTTTAAGCTATCCACAAGACAGGCCTCACGAAGGATACAGCGTGGAGATAGCAGCCGTACCAATAACGACGGCATACACAATAAGGAACACATTTTGGCTCCTTCAGGAAGGATCGAAAAAGACGCAAAACATGCAGCCGAATAGGTCAAGATAAACTTAGGCCTGTCAGTGAAAAGAGAATAGATTAATTCCTAGTCGTTTTGTTGTCGTGGGACGTTATGTAAGGGTAACAACGACAGTGTGTTTCCATGGTACCAAATGCGACGTTTAAACACTAGTGGAAAGAGGGGTGTTAGGTACAACTGGGTATGGTCACATCTTCAATATCCAAAAGGTACGTCAGTAAAGTGTAGACCCAACCACTGACTATACTGGGGTCATGAGCATCAGCGCTACTCGACCACCTCACGAGTGGGCGTGAATCCATGACTGGGAAAAGAATGAGTAAATTTTTCACAGCTTAGGCACACTCGTGAAAAGTTAAACTTGTCTCTCATCAGAAGAGTACACAGCAGGTAGCAGTCATCATCATCATCGAGAATGCACCAGCGTTTATACTGTTACACAACTATGATTAAATTCGTGAAGATCAATAAGAGAAAACAGGGGTCTAATGTTGAACCTAAACGTCCTAAGAGGTAAGATGCCTACACAGTCATAAACATCAGGCCATCACGTGAAGACAAAGTGGCAAAGGAAAGACGTCGCCTTGGCGAATTACATTATTCCGTGTCATAATCAACCATATACGAGAGATGACAGACACACACGGACACACATCAAACAGCCAATCCGGATAGAAGACGACAGCAAACGTGTCACTGATGCTGACTGCGGGCCATATCCTGTAAAGCCTCGAACCGAGTTGCATGAAATCGAGCTTGGAAGTACAGATGAACCCATATTAGGCAGGTACTTAATTGCCGCGGCCGTGAAACCTTTCGCCCCTATCTGATCTTACGATATCCTAAGATAGGTAAACAATGAACCGGAGTAGCTAACCCAAGCTAAAGACAACGGAGCTAATTCTACGTTGTTTGCTACACCAGGGCGGACGATCTAATTCTCTTTGGGTCTGATGCGTTAGCTATGCAAACACTACTGCACGGACTTCTGCGTAGCGCTGCAAGCTTCGGATGTACTTTGCACCTTCAAAATGCAGTGTTATTGTAGGACTGGGCCGACACACCTCTGGTTTTAGCTAGTTCCGAAAAACCAATTGGAGTGGTGGATCGGTTGATTTACCTTAATAGCCGTGTCACCTTTGGTGGTCACATCACTGAAGAGGTTACTTCGCGTATCAGCAGGGCCTGTGTGGCTTTCCAGATGCTTAACCATCTATGGAGACCACGACATATCAGCTTGTCAGTGAAACGTAGGGTGTATAACGCTGTGATAAGGTCGGTGCTACTTATCGATCAGAGACCTGGCCAGTTGGTAATGAAGACATTAAACGCTTGGCCGTGTTTGATCAACAGTGATTGCGAAGTGTTGTTCACGTCTGGTGGGAATACCGGGCGAGCAATGCTGAGATCCGCCAGTTGGTTTTGGACCTTCTGGTGCGTCTCTCGAGTGTTTGCTGAATCGTAGTCGCTTGCGTTGGCTAGGCCATGTCCTCCGTATGCCCGTTGATCGGCTTTCTCGGCATGCACTATACGTCGTGACTGCACCCAGTTGGGCGAAGCCTCGGAGTGGCCAGTCCATGACATGGCATAGAAGTTTAAAGAATTTGACAGAGGCTTGGTCAGGCGGGTGCATGCCGTCTTCCTGGATGCAGATCTCGGGACAGTCCACACCAATAGTTGGATACCCTGTCAGACATGGCGCAGTCCCGAAATCAGTCGCGTTTCTGCATTCGGCTTTTTTCATCTAGTTGTTAATTTTCGTTCCATTCTTTTCTTTCTGCTTTCATTTGCTCTACGTTCAATTTACACCCAACCCCATTGTCCTACTGGTGTTATTTATTGTTATTTTTACCGTGTGAATGGTAACTGGATCTACCTACCGCACTTCGGTGCTCTGAGCATAGTTGATCAACAGAATTGAAGTGAACTGCTACTCCAGGGTTGCTCATTGTCAGCTGCACGTAAATTGCTGCCATGCAGTATAAGCAATGCTTCGAGAGTAACAATGATCAAATACTGAAAAGTGCCGCAGATAAACAATCTCCCTCCCTTACGAAATCACAGATGTCACATTAAGAAATGCGGTTTCATCCAGCTCAGCACGTTTCACATTGAGGCGCCAATGGCTACCAATGTAGCTGTCAACATAGGTGAATTGAGCAAGTGTCTTCAGCTGCTCACTGTGAACATTTTATGGGCTAGGAGGTGATTGATGAACTTGTATCAACATGTTGAGCCGTGTGGGTGAGAAGTGTATACGGAAGGAAGAAAAAGCTGAGCTTATCTAGAGTTAGCTGTGCCAAATGACAATTATCGAATAGCAAGGTAGCATCCTCCGTGATGTGTGGATCAATCAAGTTCTTCCATACAGCAGATTAGTGACATCATAAGAGGACTCTTCAGGACGGGGAAATTGGACAATCCAAGCGAACTCTAACTGTTGTCAAAAAGGCGTCAGATAATTCGCTGTATACTCCGATGCGATATGTGGGGCTGAAGTACAAAGATATTTACATATTTCATAGGAGCACCTTTCTGAGCAAATATTTGGAGGATGGAGCAATCGGCCGTGTCGAGCGCACTCCTGAAGTCAAGAAACACAACAATACTCAACCTGTGTGCATGTGACGCAGCCGTAGCACCCACCGCAATATTAAACTATGGCCCATACAGCCTGATCCTGCACAGATACCAACCTGTTCGTCCCTCATTCGTAAAGCTCGCTCCACGGTAAATCGATACAGGAGCATATCAATCAAGTCCGTCACTCCTGGCTTCGATCTGATAAAACTGTGCCTTGCAAGAAAGATGCGACTGTTCTTCTAGTGTATTGCTGCTATGCTCGATTAGCCTTATGTAGCTCGGACGATTTTGCCTCGCCATGCACATTCGAATAAGTGGGTGCTTTATTTGTAAACTACATCCCCATCATCGTTAAGCGGAGAGAGAGACTACAGTCCATTAGTGCGAACATGTTGATGGAAGTGGAAGTAGGTATAATCAAAGGCTCATCAGGGACCTCTAAATTAACTGGTTATGGAACAACTAATGCACCTGAACACTGTGGCTCACAGGAGATCAGACGAAATGTTGATGATGTATTCTGCCTAACGAGCTAGATGACATTTCATATGGGAAGTTAGGGCACTGAGGCACATAGACAGGTGATGTCTTGAGGTCAGCAGTGCGCATTAGTGCAGTGAGGCTGAGGAAGTTAAGTACCCCCATGACTTTGCAATTTACACATGTCATCAACATCGAGTGCTGGAGCGTGTGCAGTTTGGCTCCACCGGAATACGAGTGAGCGCCCCGAGCAACGCACTGCACCGGAACTCGCGCGGGCTATGGCATTGACATTGCTGCACTCAGTGAGGCTCAGCTAACTTAC